ATTTACAATTGAACATTGGGTCATCCTTATGATGTCATTGATAACACAATCACAAGTTTGCCAAAACGCGTTGACCTAATAATTAAGTCTGGTGCCGTATTGGACAAGTATTAATCTATATATATAAATGAACTTTAGTAGCTTAATAACTAACTGACAGTACTCGTGAACAGCACTCGTGAACAGTAGTCACAGTAATTGCTTAATTTTTCGTCAGATTGTAAATAAATACATAAAATATACACAACATTTTGTTCATTGTTACTGTCCTTACAATCTCATGGCAAATGGGTAAAACAAATTGTACATTTCAAACAATAATTGGCAGTACTCATTAAAACCTCCAAACTTAATAATATGAGATATAGACATTGTCTTAACTCCTGATATGGCAAGCACTGTGATTGTCCTTTCCAAAGCCCGAATTTTCCTACAAAATACCAACAAACAGAATTGCAACACTTATGCCAGCATTTAAAAACATTTTATTTCAGAGAGTGAAATCATATATGTTCGTTTAGCTAGTGTTTCATTGAGTACTGTCACTGAGTACTGAGTGTCACGATACAAAGCCAGGTGGCCTGCGCGTCTAACAATTACATATTGTTTTGCAGCGTATTATTATATCGCAATAAGCTCTTGCAGTTACTCTTTGTTATGTAAAATGATGCATTTTTCATGGAAATGAACATGTAGCATTTTTCAGACAATCTTGGCCATAAACCATAGGACGACGATAAATTTTTATGCATTTTTAATGCCTCCCCCCTTCCCCCCCCCCCCATTCAATGTTGCCGTTTCGTGTAGATTTATGATCTGACCTACTGTACAACAAAATTGTACATTGAATGGGGGGAGGTGCAAAATTATTATAAAACCTAAGTATATTAAAAAGTTGCGATTGTAGATTCTGTTCCGAAATATCACTTACTCGAACTGACCTGACCGCGTAGCTCAGTTAGCAGAGCATTGGGCTAGTATTCCAAAGGTTGTAGGTTCGATTCCCACCGTGGCCAGGCATATTTTTCAAGCTTGCCCGGTTTGGATATACACTCAGAGTAACATCACAAACATTATATTGACTTAGTCAACACTTTGAACAGAACATGCCAGCGTATAGACGAGTTAATACGTAAGCATGCCAATTGCGCAAAGCTAGACTATAAGAGTTAGATGACAAAAAGAATTCGATGCCAAAGTGTACAAGCTGAGTGTCAGTAGAGGAGAAATGGAGTCAGTGAAGACAATGAATACAAAGATTCAAGAGCATTGTAAGGAATTAGAAGAATGGAAAACAAAATATAGTGATTTAGTGGAGGAGAGTAAAACATTATATGAAGAAGATATGGTAAAGGAGGTAAAAAATTTGGAAGAAGAAATAACTGATTTAATGAGGCCAACAAGGCTTTGAGGGAATATGTTGAAGTCCTTGAATGTAAAGAATCATTACAATGTTAAGGAGAATCTATAAATAACTTGGGGAATTAAAAAAAGAACGAAATCTCAAACTGCTTCACAACAAAGTGCAGCATATATATTGTGGTTCTGCAAGAGCTTTGGGCTGGATCTTACCAACATAGGGTTTCAGGATGAAACTGGTTGTAACTACTCAATTGAATACCTGACAACATGCTGTGCAAATGCTGATCATATGCAATATGAAAAATCGAAAAATAAAAAGGAAATTGTTGAAAATGTTCTATTTCCCCTCAACATGTTCTATTTCTCCTGGTGTTTCCACAAACAATAATATTATAAGCTGAAATAGCTAAGAAATCGTATAAGAACATCTATGATGGATCTGTCAATTCATACATGGAGATCATAGATATCTTATATACACTAGATAGCGCATCTCTTTTAGTAAAATTGAAGCCAAGAATATTCCAGCGGTTACCCCCATTTGAATAGATGGCGGCCATGTTGGTCGTTCCCACTTGCTAATAAACGCTTAAAAACAACAAAAACTTTCATCATTCGAATAGTTTAAAAACGTATTTGGAATAGGGTTAACTTGATGTATAAGTTCCCAATTTAAGAAATAGAAAACATACGAATCTTCTCACTGCAATCACGGCTTCAATATTTGAATTGCAGAATAATTAGATGCACTATCTAGTGTATATAAGATATCTATGATGGAGATGAACAATGACAGCATTAACTTAAAATGGTACCATCATATGAAATGCTGGAAGAGAAGATCTGTAGATTTCAGAGAAAAGAAGAAAAATAATAAGGAACTGGCTCTAAAACTGTAACTAAGAATGAACCAATAGAACCAAGGTGGAAAATTGCATGTACTCACTGAGATAAGTATTATTTGTGGAAGAGACGCCTCTTGGTTCTCACTTGACAAGTATAATACTAGTGCCAATGTGCACAACATTCTCGGATTTGGTTTTAAAATATATTGAATTGTGATCAATTAAGTTTATTTAGGGTGAAGTAGTTTCTATGCTACAAACATCCAACTTTGTTATTAGCAGATGTTTAGTTTAATAATTTTGTTTCACACCAGGTAACTAAGAGGAAAAAACAAAGAATCTTTGAGTTATTCTTTCAACATCTGAGACAAGGTTGTCAAATTTCATGGGAAATATTGTACAAAAATATACAACTATTTGTCAGTCATGTGAAGAAATGCCATCAATTCTGTACCAACAATCGAGAGAAAGTTCAGATTGAGAAATGCGAAGAACTGTACAGTGACCATGAAGAAGCAGACACACAGCTCCTCCTTCACGTTAAACAAGCTTTGAGATCATATTGTCATATGCAGCCCTGACACTGATGTATTCATCTTGCTATAGGACATAAGTTAGCAATACCAACAGCATTGTATTTTGACACCAGGATTGGAAACCAAAGGAAAATATTGGATGTTGGTAAAGTGCATCTAACTGTTGGCTCTCAGCTTTGTGATGCTCTCATTGGCTTTCATGCATTCACATGTATACACAGTCGTGATGTTTTGGTCGCAAATTTATTAACCATTCGAAAAAATAGAATAGATCAGAATTAGAATAGAAATAATAGAAAATATTAGAATATCATATTAGAATAGATAGATTAGAATACATATAATAGAAAAATATATCTGATGTAAATCCCAGTTTCATTTTAAAATGCTGTGACAGTACCAGTGCCTTCTAAGGAAAAGGAAGGACAAAGACCTTGGATGTGGAACAAGCACGTCGGTGACGTAGTTTGTGTTGGAAGTGGTTTCTTCATTCCAAGTTCGAACAGGTGGCATTAGCATACCCATCACGACATCAAGAAAATTGTCATCCTGTGCAAACAAAATGAGGCTTAGAAATTTCACCCTGTGGGCTTATGTGTATGTTATTACCTGCTTAGTAATAACCTGAGTGTTTATAGCTATACGTTTCGAGCAAACGCTATGTCTACATGAAAGTTATAATAACAAGGTGGCATCAATTCCTGACTAGAGTCTCTAGTAAACATTACTATTGAACATTGGTTGGTTATGACAATTACAAACGACTCAGTTTGTTGATACAACATCCCAAGGCTCACAAATTGTATTTTTCGCTATACTTACTAATTCCTCAGAAAATGGAGTTTTACATCCTGCTGATAGCCACTTCAAAATGCTCTCTCTTTCCTTTCTTTCGTGTTTATGAAAGAGCGTATTCCTCACACTTCCGATTTCATTTGTTACCACCATCTTTAAATGGCCCTACACAAGGTCATCAATAAAGATTGTGGTGTTCACATACATCAAATTATAAATGTAATATTCGTTTTGATTTGTGGAAATCGCCATGGTACTTATTAATACACCCTTTCGATAATTCTGTCACACATACTTTTCGTTCTGGAGCTTGGCTCACGATTCATGAGAGCGAGGCTCCCAGGCCAAATGACATAATTGTCGAAAGGGTGTATTGCAATGATTACAACAATCAAATGCCAAAATGCAAGTAACTTATTATATTGCAAGTATTTATCACCTACCTCAACTGCTGTTTCTAAAATCAGTAGCATCCCGTCTAGATTTTCGTATGGGTGTTTTTTGCTATATAATAAAAAAATACTTTGCTGGTACGCTCTCGCGTGCAATTGACTAATAACATGCCCTTGGTAGATGTGATGCCGGACAGATACCTATCGGACCGGTACCAGCCCTGTGTCGGACGGTATAGTAAGTATAGGTTATTTTAATTTGTGGCAACGAGGGGATATGTGATTTATTGACTGAGGCGCGCGCAGCGCTGAGGTGAATAAACACATATCCCCCAGGTGCCTCAAAATAACGTACTTATTTTTCACATTGCGAGGTCGCGTTGATGAGTCAGAATAGAAATAATTCTTCTTATTATATATCAATAGTCAAAGTCGCATTTTTCTAGTGTTTTATTGGTTGAGAGCATATCACGTGAGAGTGACGAAATTAGGCTGTCTCCCTCGCAACAGCGCGAGAGGGAGATAATATGTTATCGACCGGCGAATAACAAAAAAAGATGCAACCTTTGGACATGCCTAGTACGTAATTAAAACTTTCGCTTTAACAATAAACTATTTCATGTATTTACGTACATTTGTTCTTTAACTTGTTGTTTCTTTGACTATTGATATATAATAAAACACTTATTTCCTGAGACAGGAAAAGCAGTGTGTTTTGTGGACCCTCGACCTCCCTCGGCGAACATCGACGGTCTTGCGTCCACAAAACACACTGTTTCCCTCGGTCTCAGTAAATAAGTGATAAATGCCATATTGCCTTCGTTATGTTGTTTTTTTCTCATTTTTTGTGCTGCAAAGACATTGCAGGTGAATATTAGAGGGGATTATTAAATGGAAATTGATTAGCGGGGAATATTGAATATATTCCCCGATAAGTAATGTGTTGTTTTTTGTTCATTACCATGACCTTCGAGCTGAACGGTCATGGTTAACGAAGCTCTTTAAAATTGATTAAATTTCCACATTAAAGTCAAATAAGTATAATGCCTGATACAGTAAAATGTTTAAAGGAAGCAAACAAGGCACTGCACTCTGAAATTGAGGAATTAAAGTCTCAACTGAACAAAGTCAGCCAAAAAATTACCTCACATACCAACAAGAAACCGGCCATTGAAGATCAGACGCAGGTCATGTCAAACGACCACAATAAAGCAGTAGAGTTTATCGGCAAACAATATGACGATCTGGATGCATTTCGAAAACAAGCTACTCAAGATATTAAGAAAATTGCTTCAAGACTTGATAAAGTTAGTAGAAGCTGCGACGAAATATATGAAGCCATCGAAGCAATCGAGACGTACAGCTATCAGTATAATATTAAGGTGGTTTTTTATCCCTTTTCAATATGATTCCTTCAAAATTTTGGTTTTCAGTGTTTTAGATATTTCAAGTATTGAACTTTCAGAATCTGCTATTATTTTAGTTGATTAGTTCGGTTTTTAAAGCGAAAAATGCTTTTAAAATGGCCATAGTGAATTATTTTCCCCTTAGCAACGCCTTAGCAACACGTTTTGGCCCATAAAAACGCATGAAAAACAAAAACAAATGAATAAATAAAGGTTTTTGAAGTTTCTACTTTTGATGTATGTGATTTAAAAGTCATTTCAAAAGCTGCAATTTGATTGGTCCATTTTTCGAGCACATAGTACTTCATAGTGTGCTACACTTATCGACCGGGCGAATTTGCTAGCGAATACTCCGTGATTTCTTCGTATTTATTGAGGACTTACTGCCGTTTTTTAAAATTTCTTTTACTTTGTCATCTTTTTTAAATAATTTTTGACATAATGGGAAATCTGCAAAATAGAAAGAGAAAAAAGAAGAGAATTCCACCATCAAAGGGAAGCAAGAAATTCAAAGATGGCTGCCAACCATCTTCTCAAAACATGGGGGCTTCCCAGACGAAACTTGCTGGTTCAAATGGCAAATTTGGTGAGAATTTTGGTGATAGTGACTCCTTTAAAGAAGGCACAATATTCATGGATGTACAGGTACTTTTTGGTGTATTTGATGAAGTACTGAGATGCCCTGACTGTGGTAATCATATAACATCTCAAGTTGACATGAAGAAAAAAATGGGTTTTTGCATTATATTATCTTACAATGCAACAATTCTGAATGTGACTGGAAGCATTGCTTTCACACATCTCAAAAGCAAGGGCCCTCATACAATGTAAACACAAGAGCAGTCTTGGCATTCAGGGAAATTGGTCGTGGACACAGTGCCATGGTGACATTCACTAAAGTAATGAACATGCCATCACCACCAACTGGCCGTAACTTCACGAAAATTCAAAACAATAAACTATTGCCTGTTGTAAAACAATTGGCAAATGACAGCATGATGACCAATGCCACAAGTGTCAAAGAAGTTTGTGATAATGATATGGGAGAGTGTGGGATCTCCCTTGATGGAAGTTGGCAAAGACGAGGCCATACTTCGCCCAATGGTGTCGTCACTGCCATATCATTAGACACAAAGAAATGTCTGGATGTAGAAATTATGTCAGACAAGTGCAAGGCATGCCAGAAATGGGAAAAAAGAGTTAATGACCCTAAATATCCAGAGTGGAAAGCTAACCACCAGTGCAAAATTAACCATACTGGAAGCGCGAACAGCATGGAGGCAGCTGGTGCCTTGCGGATTTTTCAAAGATCCTTCATTTCACGGGGACTCAAATACAAGAACATGCTTGGTGATGGTGATTCCTCCACATACAATAACATTGTAGAAAGCAAGCCCTATGGTGAGGAGTGCATTCCAAACAAGCTTGAGTGCATAGGTCATGTACAAAAGAGAGTCGGAAGTAGATTGCGAAGGTTGAAGAATTCAAGTAAAGGGATAAAGCTGAGTGATGGGAAAGGGTTAGGCGGTAAGGGAAGATTGACCGATGGGAAGATTGATGTGTTGCAAAATTATTATGGTCTTGCTGTGGGAGAGAATTTGAAAGATGTCAACAGCATGGCCAGATCTATTAAAGCAGTGCTTTATCATGTTGCCTCAACTGAGTCAGATCCACAGCATATCACCTTTGTCCGAACGGAGACGACAGTTGGTGCGGGTACAAAAGAGACAAGGAAACTTATGAGCACAAGAAGGGCATTCCCAAGTGCATTGTTGAAGTTATTGAGCCAGTGTTTGATGACCTGAGCAAGGCTGAGCTTCTACAAAAGTGCACTCATGGCTTGACTCAAAATGTAAATGAGTGTCTCAATGGGCTAATTTGGGATCGATATCCTAAAACCACCTATGTGGAACAGGAAACTGTAGCATTGGCAACTTATTTGGCAGTGCTTAAATTTCATGATGGAGACATCTCCTATTTGAAGATATATGAAGACCTGGACATAAAGCCTGGGATGTTCACCTGCCAAGCTGCTCAAAAATGCGACCAATCTCGGATCCGTTTATCGGCTAAGAAATCCAAAGAGACAGTCAAGAGTAGGAGAAAAACATTAAGACATTTAAGAAAAAAGTACATTGGCAATGTAGAAGAGGTAGAAGGAGTGATGTATGAAGCTGGAGGCTTCTGAATGTACGGTAAGGTACTTTGAAAGTAAATGGAAGTTTTAAAATGGATTTTCTCTATTTAGTGATTTGGAAGTTGTTGACGATATTTGTCACACTGTAAATTTGTAAATATATTTGGGATTGAATTGAAATTTGGCATATTTACTCTTTACAATGTGGGCTATCATGTGACACTATTTAGATTTCAGTGTTTGATGTCATTCACAACTTATAGATCAATTAAGAATAAATTAACTGGTTAAAAATTGAAATTATTCAAAAAGTTTGATTTTTGATTCTAATTTGTTTTGAAAGTATATTTTAAGAATTTGAAGATTGTCACATAATAGCCCAGGATCTAAGCTTTCTAAGATATTGTGTTTACAATTCGACTTAATTATGTGTTAATTAGTCTAATTAGTGACTTTTGGAAATTTTTTTTCATTTGCTATTTTTCACCTCTTAAACCTTTTTAAATATGCTAACTTTAAGCTAATACCTGTAAAATTGAAAAAAAATCGTCAAAAGGGACATAACCACCAATATTAAGATAGTTGGACTGCCGCCAGTTAACAACAAAGAATCGTCTGATGTGACTGCAGCGCTTTGTGTAAAGCTTTTTTCAGCATTGGGTGTAAATGATGTCTCTATACAAGATATAGACATCGAAATTCACCTGCTAGTCCAGACCCAAAAATCTGCAAATTCGTCCGAAGGCTTGCTAAAGACAAAGTCATGGCGGCAAGACGTAAAATATACGAACTAAAGCCCGAACAACTCGGATTCCAAGCACAGGAACAGCATGGCCGAATGAACATCTACGAACATTTAACACCTTGCCTTCAGACACTTCTCTTTGAGGCTAAAAAAGTGCAAAATTGTTACGGATTTAAGTACTGCTGGGCTAAGAACAACTACATTTGTCTTCGAAAATCTGATGACTCGAGTGTAGTAAGAATGAAGACACTTGAGGACCTGGCTAAGCTCACAACGGTTGAAGATGCAAAATGATCGGTACATTAAGATAAGTAGAATTAGACACTAAAAATATATTGTGTGATAACAATGGGGAGCAAACATGACGAAAAAGTAAACAAAGCTATGTTTCGCGAACTGCCCTATAACGGTGTTAATATTGTTGCTAGTCACGGACAATTTAATAACAGTCTTTCTCCAAATCATATCGCTAAAAACTATTTAGATAACCTTACTAGTATATATGATCTGGACCTATTTAATCTGAATACAAATCCTAATTCGGATATAAACCCCGATCACAATATTATCAGTAACCATATTCATAGTAGGTATTATTCACCCAATAGCTTTCAAAAAATTGACAAAGCTCCAAATAGTTTCTGTAATAACCGATTCACATTCTTTCATAATAATGTATGTAGCTTGAGGAAAAACCTTGATCATCTGCAAACCCATATATTGGATGAACTTGGTTTTTCTTTTAGTATTATAGGTATAACTGAAACTCGCATAACAGATGCTACTATTGATAACTTCAATTACAATATTCCTGAGTACTTGTTTGAATTTGTTCCAACGCCTCTTGCTGCAGGAAGAGTCGGATATTTTATTATTGAAAAAACCGCGAACAAGGACTTTCAAGCTCTATGGATTGAAATTCTTATGCCAAATAGGAAGAATATTATTTGTGGTGTACTATATAGGCAACATAGTTCACCAGAATGTTTCCTAAATTATTTTGAAGAAAAACTCGAATATTTCACTTCTCTGGGCAAAACTGTTGTTGTCATGGGCGATTTTAACATAGATTTGCTTAAAATCGATAGCTGTAATTATGCACATAATTTTTTATTGACTTTACAAAGTTGTTCAATGACCCCTAGCATTGATAAACCAACCCGTGTCCACAGGGACTCTGCCACGCTAATTGATAACATTTTCATTAATATTCCGGATAAAATATTAACGAGCAGTAATGTCGTATCGGACGGAAGTGATCATTTTTCTCAATTCTGTATTATAGATTTAATTTCAGCTAAGAACAACGTAACAAAATTTAAAATTAGAGACTACTCTCGTTATTCAGAGACTTTATTCCTTCAAGATCTGTCACAAATAGATTGGAATTCCATAATAGCTAACCACCAGACTGGAAAGTTTGTATTGCGCAACCTAGATCTAGGTTGCGCAATTTCGGACCAAAAACGCGTTGAAACGCGCAAATTTTAAGAATTTAGCTATCCGCCGTGCATGTAATAATATTGTGCAATGACCGCCGCGCAAACGCGCGGAAAAGCGAGAAAGAAAGCACAAGAAGTAAGAAAACGCGAGAAGCAAGAATGCGCGAGAACACGCGTTGGAGCGCACGTGCATCGCGTGACGTTTGCAAGATCGAGTTTCAAATGCAAATTTCAATGCGCTGGCAGCGGTAGCGCCTGTGGCGCAACGCATTAAGTTACAGCTTACTTCCGATTTGGTGGCTTAACCAATACGAATATGGCAAATTGTTATTTTTTGCGGTATCGCGTTCTTTTGCTCGGAGTTTTCAAGGCGAACAACGTCGGTATTCGAAGTTACACGCTCATATTGTCTATTGAGTACTTTTCCTGTGGAATTCTCAATTCTGTGGAACGTCTTGTCATTCTCGAGAGTTGATTTTAAGAGGTGAGTGTGTCTGTGTGTGTAGTGTTCCTAGTTGGAGTATCTGTATTTCTGTTGCGCTTATGGAAATTTATATCGCGTAATCGCTTCTCAACAGAGTTACAAACCGGGCCTTTGGCCGCGTTCGGTTTGTCGAAATTATTAGCTTTATGAAGTCTTTTAATAACGTTTTAGTTCGATACTATAAAATGTTTATTGATTGAAACATGCGTTTTAGTTTCACGCCAATTCACTCACGTCTCATGGTAAATATAAAGATGGCAGAGATCCAGACAGTTAAACGAGGTAAGGCTGGTAATAAGGTGATTGACGTAAACAGCGTATACTGCGTAATAGCTTAATAAGCGACCCACATATGTACTATTTAAAGCACGCGTAGGAGTGTTTTATCATAAAACACGACGCATAGCGGAGTGTTTTATATGTGATAAAACTTTTATATGTAATAAAACATGACTACAAGTGCTTTAAATGGCTTAAACTACTCATCTTATTATCTTATACGAGTTCATTGGCGATTTGGCCAAGTAATTTTTAAAATAAACGTTGTCTAAATCGAGAAAATCAAAGCTAAAGTCTATGTAAATTAACATGATTTTTTATCACATAAAAAACCACGACACGCTTATGATTTTTTATTGTGTATTGCTCCTGAATTATTAATGACTTTTTATTTATAAATATATTTATAATTTATTTTTGTTATAATATTAGTTTGTGCTTCATGTGAGAAGGAATGTGGAAGTCATTTTTGCAAAGTATGCAAAAAGGCCTGTCATGCCATTCCACCTTGCTCAACATCTACTGCTGAGGATGAAGAAGGGTTTGGTGCACAGGTGCTATGTAGTGGTTGTGCAAAGACTAAGGCGGTGGCTCAACCAAAGCAGATGACGATTTCTAAAGAAGGTGAAGTAAAGCGATAATATTAGGATAGAAACGTTTTATGCCACAGTTTTCTTTACACAAATTACATCCTGGCCCTGGTGGTCTGGTAATTATAGGAGTATTGCCACTGTTGTATAAGATAATATACCTGTCGACTATTTTTACCTATACAAATTTTTACTATTAATTATAGAGTCTCAGTTTGTCAACATGTTTAAGAGAGTTGGCACGTCGAAAACAGCAGGACCGCAGGCAAAGCGAACAAAGAGTGGGCATGAACACACACCCATGGGCTTTTGTTTGCTTTGCTTCAAGGAAGGGAAATCGAAATTTTGGCTTCAAAGGGGGAACAAATCCTCCCTGGCCACCCACCTTAAAACCCACAGCGATAAGGGTCAAAAAACATCGCCAAATGATGCTGTTCCAGAAAATTCACCTCTTGCTGCAAAGGCATTAAAGGCATACAAGCAAATTTGTCCAGCAAGCACTGCAAGTTCAACTAGGTAAATAACAACCAGTTAATATATTTGGACTCAATACAATTATACAACCATTGTAGCTAAAGCAGGTTTCATAAGTATATGTGATATCTACACATTGTAAATTAAGCTACTTTTTGTATTTGAAATTATATAATAAAATAATAATTTAATTTTTATATAGTACAAGCCAGATGCATGCTCAGGTGGATGATATAGCAGACCCAAAAGAGACCACTGCAATGGACGTGGAGAGTGGCTTAGCTTCAATGTATGTACAGCATAATACACAACACTACATTGAATCAATACCCACATATTAAAATTATAACGTTCATATTGTTTAGAGAAGAGCATAAAGCTGATAAGGGTAGTGGAAGGAAGGATTATATGACCAGTGTACCATCGACTGGTGTCACTCCTGATTGTGAATCAGTTAAATTAACTGGTTTAACAAAGGAAAAGGAAGAAAGATTTGTCTACATGTATTCTCACACATGAATATAAGTCAGGCTAATGCCCATCCTACAGGCTACAACTGTTTTAAGACAACCTTATTTGGAATGGGAAAATAAATGTATTGTACTTGTAGCAGCATGAAAACTCAATTAATGATAGATATGAAAATGTGTACTATCCATAGTCCATTCGGTCTTTCAGTGCATTCACTGTATAATTTCGTAAATATTGTTTAATGTCAACTTTGTATTGATGGCAGTGTTTCTCCTTTTAGTTCTGGCCCAGGAAGTTCTGCTACTTTCAAGCCAGCTCCTATTATGTAAGTTTGGTTTAATTTGTACTTGTATTTAAAAATAGGTCCCCAGTTAGCTATAATGCTAGTTTACACGAGGTCTACGCTATGGTATATCAGTTATGCACTCACCCATGTAGCCAATAATAATTTTCTGCTAGAAAGAACGTAGTTTAAAAGGTATAATAAACGTATAATTATTTAATTGAGTTTCCCCCAAAATTATATGGCAAAATGTCCGCCATAAGCGGATGAGCCATGTTTGTTTTGCCTGACTCGTTTCCAGTCTCTACTCTTTTTTGTGATTTGACTTCATAACGCACTACAAACGTTATTACGTTTAAGGTAATTCCGCAGTTTTGCATTGCGCACTTTTACTATGCACACATCGTATAACTTAAAATTTCATCCATTATACGTACCGTTTACCGTGAAAAAATCATAATTTTATGACAATTTTATGCTATCGATTTTATACTATCCGATTCACGTTAATTTAATTCATTTGACAATCATGGAGATCAGATTCGCGTTAATATAACCATGTTTTAAAAGACCTAGAAGCAATTCGTGTTAATTTAATGTCGCGTTAATAAAGTGCGCCGTTGATTTCCTATAATAAGGTATATGCAGCTAAATAAAGCTTGTCTCTCAAGAGTCAAAACAAGGGGTATGATCCGTATGAACAGTTAAATTAGGCCTAAAAAGCTAAATCGTACTTTTAAATGTTTCAGTCGAATTTAGGAATTTTGTTTCATGCAACTCAAATTCTCAACCTAAATTGTATTTTCATGGCCCCAACATGCTCATACACTCATAATCTATAGTTTAAGGAGAGAAGACAACATTTTTTGAAATAGAAATATTGAATTAAAAATAAACTTTCTTATTGAATAGCATTAACATTTCTATTACTACAGTGAACGGATTGTACGACGACAGCCTGTTGATCTCACATCATCTGAGACTGAGATTACTCCAACCCCAAGCCAATCAAGCCATCACAGCTTTCAAAGCTCACTGGAAAGTTTCCTCCCCTCCCTTTCAAAAAACGAGCAAGGCGACCTCCCTTTTAACATTGAAGAGTTAGCTGAAAAAATTGCAACAAAGGTGGCAAAAAAATTAAGTCCTCCGCCAAGTTCAAGTCATTCTAAGAGTTCAGCAACCTCGTTAAACCCCTCATCGAGTCCGCCTCTTAAAGCCGGTAATTTAGTTGAACTTCTTGAAGAAGTTGCAGATTTTAGGTTAGTTAAGGAGGAGAACGGCTGGGTAATAAAGTGTTGTAGTTGTGAGGAGTTTCTGTCCTCTACCCGCGTTTCATTTTCGTCTTCGTTTCGTCGACCATCTGGTAAAGCAGATGGAAGCTTGGCAACAGGTTTATTATTGTCAAACGAAGCGTATCAACAACTCATTGCTGGCAAGTGTGAGAAATGGTATAGCCAGAAACAAGCATTCCATCGACATCTTTCTTCCAACACCCACAACAACGCTGTAGATCATATGAAGTTGGTAAGGCAAGGACGATCCAGGGAAGTTACCGTTGTAAAGAATCAACTCCGTACAGCCATTGGAGTTGTGAAAACGAAGTCGGCCGCAATCCAGTACGAGGCACGAATTGCGGAGCTGCAGGTGCAGACGTTGGTGATTTCGGTCATTCGCGAAAGATGTTCCCTGCCATGATTGAAGCAGCGTGTGCATATATCGACCTGAAAACCGCCAATTTTCTTTCTACCCCTCTGCCAAACACGGGAATGCCTCCGCACTTTTATGTTACTGCAGATAAGTCCACAAACCATCGGATGACCAACCAGGTCACCGTCATCTGTCCGGTGGTGAATGGTAGTCGTGAGGGCATTGTCCTGGACGCTAGGGAGGTTTATGCAAGTTCCGATGTGACTGGTGGTGCAGCTCACGCTTTAGCAGCTGCTATATTTAAAGATCTGGATGAGCATGTCGGCATAAAAGGAAATCGCCTTCTGCAAGCCCAAGGAAGAGTAATGGATGGCCAATATGTGAACCGACCATTTATTGCTGCCATGAACGAGCCTATGATGTGCCTTTTTGAAGATGGCCTTCCTTGTAAAGAAAGGTTTTGGTGGCCTGTAGAGTGGGACCCTGCTCACTGGTTAGACAAAGTTTTCAGCGAGTTCAAAGATTCTTCTTTTGTCGATCGCTTGCTGAAAAGAGTTGCGCTATATCACCAGCTTTTCAGTCATGGTAAGATGCACAGCGTGGCCCGTCACACAGCAAAAGATCTGAAACTTCCATTTAGGGTGACCAACGCTTATGCCCATCAGCGTTTCATGAGTTCGAGCTACCTCTCACTAAAGAACCTTGCGAACAGTTTGGAAGTTTATATGGAAACATTCAAGGACCATGACAATCGAGAAGTACTTGGTTATAAGTTATGTGGTCAAGACTTTGTCCATGATTTGTTGGGTGTTCTTGATTTGTTGTGGCCCTTGGTGGTCCTTATGCTGCAGGCGCAGGCTCAATGGTATCCTGGCTGGAAGTTGTGCTCCCATATTCCTTTGGTAAAAGAACAGATTGAGAGATTCATCGTCGAAGTTTCCAAGGAAGATCCTGCTGCCTATGTTTGTCCCAGACTGAGCCAGAAAGTCGACGAAATTAGAGATATGTGCTATGGTCAAAGTGATCTAGAGACTGGATGGTTTGTCGTTGGTGGTGGCGACAATGGAGTTCCAGTAGATTGGTCTGCGCGTGAAATCGAAGATAGTGTGCGCGATCTGGAAAAGCTGGGCAGAGATGTGATCAACCAGATGGAAGTCCGATTCAACAACAGCTTCTCTGAACTCAATCGGTTGCTGTCAAAATGTTTCGACTTTGCACGGTTATTTCTTGGGTTATGTGGAGTACGATCCGAAGACAGCATACCCGTGGACAAAAAGAAGTTCTCCGAGCTTGGCGTTAACGAGTTTCGACGATGTGCCTCCTACGTTGCTCAGATGCCTCATGTCCAAGAAAAGGATTTTGAGATAGGTGGTGAATTGTCGTCTACTGTGTTTTGGCGTCTAAAGAAAGTGCTCATCGCTGTGATCTGGGGGGATATGCTACACACGCACTTTTCCAACTTTTTTAAACAGATTACCGTCAAAGACAGCGGGGAATTTTCTTTAAAAGATCTGGTTGTTCCAGAAGGAGTATTTGTTGAAGCTTTTCTGAAAGGCACAAGGCGACAATTCACTCTTTCTGATGTATTTGAGGTCAAATTTAGCAATGGTCAGAAGATTGAAGCCATATTCGACGAAGAGGTTTTCATCAAATCTCTGTACACAGATGCGTCGTTTTACTCTGCAGTTGGTCAAGAGTTTTGTCTTGTTTTTGATATTTTTTACGCGAAAAGTGGAACAGAGGCGGTTGCCGAATCGTTTTATAGGGTGGTAGATAGGCATGAAATGGATGGCGGACAGAGCACCCGGATTCTTATGAATCGTTCAAAAGTAGATTGGTGTCTTCCGCCCGTCATTCAATGCGACGCGGCACTCAATGACATGGCAAAACTGTACATTAACGGAGACAAGGAGCTTGGCCTATCCAGACATAGCATACCTGTGTTCAAAGATCGACGATCATTGCAAAGACACGAAGGAGAACTGTCGAAGGTTTTGGAACGAATTGTGACTTCGCGACCGAAGTTACCTTTTCTTCTATAATCCATAACATTTTAACGTGCCACAATGAACCTGCTTTCTGGAAATCCTTGTGCCCACTTTTATCAACAGTACTATTATCCGGAACATTTTAGCATTATTGATGCTGAATTTAACCTGCATGCTGTTCTATTTATTTGGCTGTTCTTCTTCACATTTTTAACTCAAAATCCCTTCCAGTCCAACACCTGGTTGCTGAATATAGACATTTAATAACAGAGAACGTTCTGAACTTATAAACCTTCCTTAACCACCAGTCCACCACCTGGCTGCTGAATATAGACATTTAATAACAGAGAACTTATAAACCTTCCTGGTTGCTGAATGTAGACATTTGATAACAGAGAACTTATAAACCTTTCTTAACCACCAGTCCACCACCTTGGCTGCTGAATATTGACATTTTAAATCTGGCCGTTTCAATTTGATATCATGTTTTGAGGAAAGCTTCCTGCTGAGAAAATGGTTTTTCTGCTGATTTATCATCAACGAAGCGAATTTATTTGGTGTCAACCTTTCATGTGTTTTTGGTAAGATGTTATGAATGATGAACGTAAGTCACCAATGCTGATGATATTACTGTACTTATGTTATGGTATGTGTAGTGGTACTGCTAAAATGCTTGATCAAAATCTCCTCCTTAACTAACACCTAGCTGCTGAATATAGACATTTAATAACAGAGAACGTTATGAGCTTATAAACCTTCCTTAACCACCCGTCCACCACCTGGTTGCTGAATATAAACACTTAATAACAGAGAACTTATAAACCTTTCTGGTGGCTGAATATAGACATTTAATAATAGAGAACTTATAAATAAACCTTCCTGGTTGCTGAATGTAGACTTAAGACATTTAATAACAGAGAACTTATAAACCTTCCTTAACCACAAGTCCACCACCTGGTTGCTGAATATAGACATTTAATAATGGAGACCTTATAAACCTTCCTTAACCACCAGTCCACCACCTTGGCTGCTGAACCATGTTTTGAGGAAAGCTTCCTGCTGAGAAAATGGTTTTTCTGCTGATTTATCATCAACGAAGCGAATTTATTTGGTGTCAACCTTTCATGTATTTTTGGTAAGATGTTATGAATGATGAACGTAAGTCACCAATGCTAATATTACTGTACTTATATTATGGTATGTGTAGTGGTACTGCTAAAATGCTTGATGCCTTGATCAAAAGGTGACTTGAAACTGTACATTTAAGTGGGTAGTTAATGAAGTAAGGTGTTTATTAATGTTGGTTTTCTTACAGGCTTACTATTAACTGAAGTAATTATTTTGTTAGACTGTTAGTATAACTGTTTGGTAGTGTTTGGTATATGCCTAAAGACAAAAAGTTAAAGAATACGAAATCCATTAATTTCAGTGTATAACCACTGTCGCGGCGCCAATGAGAAAGGTAAAAATTTCATGCGCAAAATTTCACGCCGGACGCGCAAAAACGAAAATTCGCCGCGCAAAATTTCTGAAAAATGATATAGATTGCGCAGTTTGCAAACTTTCCAGCCTGGCACACAATCACCATACAATAGATTTTTTATTAAACAGCAAAATATTCCTCTTTTCTCGACTAAAATAAAGTAATACGTAGCTATTTAACCAAGTAATAACTAACTCTCTACACTTACAGGAAAATTTGGTTTTAAAGCTTTGTCGAATTTCGAATGTTCTTGTACCCTGGATTCCAGAGCCTTCGAAGTAAATAATAAATCAACCTCGTACCCAGGGCTTCTGCGCTTATTGCTCTCAGAAGAGAGCAATAAGCGCAGAAGCCCTGGGTACGAGGTTGATAATAAATTGAAATGTCGCGAAGGCTCTGGTTCAACGGGGCGATTCTTTGATTAAACCGCGCCAATCACAAAACAGAATTAGTGGTTTTAGTACAGAGTACATCATCCTCGTTCCCAGGGCTTCTCGGCTGCCTGCGTTGCAGAAACGCGCAATAGGCGTACTAAGATATGAGGGGTGGATATAAATTGGTGAAGACAGATGTTTTCGGGCAATGTCTCATTTTTTTTGGGCCGTATGTTTTCAGTTCACATGTTTTCGGGCAATGTCTCATGTCATCGACATCGGGCCGTATGTTTTCGGTTCACATGTTTTCGGGCAATGTCTCATGCATGCCATCGACATCGGGCCGTATGTTTTCGGTTCACATGTTTTCGGGCCGCATGTTTTCGGTTCGCATGTTTTCGGGCAATATCTCGGGTATTAGTAAAACCAGGAACACCGGAACAACGGAACACCGGAACACGGAACACCGGAACACTAAAAATTCTTAATTTGTTAAAAATTCGGAAAAAAAATCCCGGGGGTGTGAAAGTATTGCTGCAATAATTATTGCGTAAAACGTGCCTTTCTGACCGATAGCTACTAATAACGAACAGAAATCCTCGCAGAAATCAGTCTCAAAGTAATAAATATTTGCCCGAAAAATAGAAATCAAACCTAGAATTGTTATTTGTTGAGAATATTGAATGGCCCATCTTTG